CTAATGGCAGATTTGTTTGCTTGATTTGTTAGACCTGTAGTAATCTCTTTACTACAGCTGCTCCTGGTTTGGGAAGTTCTTCTGATGGTGATGCCATTGGCATTGTTGTTAATCTTGTTGGTGTTGCTGATTTGTTCAAGGTGTAGTGGGATTTTATTGAGAAGCAATGGAGAAGTTGGGACATAACAAATTAGCATGTTCTTGTATAATTCTGAAATCAGTATTTCTTGATGGTAGCTTCATATCAAGCCAAAAGAGACCACCTGCATGCATTGGATGGCCAAGAGTTGCTTTCCTCTGCGGACTATACTTGTCAATTATGCTAACCTGAAGATGTATGCGAGTTTGGTACGGTAACCCGTACTAAATTTTCAGTTTGGCAAAATCTATTACTATTACTGTGCCAAACTTTCGGTATACCGAATTTTGGTATTGCAAATAATTCGATTGGTATGGTATGGTAATGTTAATTGCTACTTTTTTAAACATATATATTTATAGCATGTTAAACATAGTTATGGCTTGGTAACTGACAACATCATCTTGTTTGAAGACATGTTTATGGCGCTTGGCAACGGTGAACCAAATTATTTTTTACTTACAACATCCAGATCGCACCTACTCCTTCCATATTACAAAAAGGTTCATAAACCCAATTAACCTTATGAAAAAAATCAATTAACAGAGTGTGGAGTCGACGGTGGAATGGGAAAGTGTTCAGAGAGAGAGAACCTGAGTTACTGAAGGGATTTCTTTTCTTTCCTTTTTTTTTTTTTTTTTTTTTTCTTCTGTCATTAGTTAGGTCGGGGGATTGAATCAAACAAATATTATAAATATATATATATATATATATATAATTATATGTTTACGGTAATGTTGTGGTAATGGAATTGAATACAAAATCCGTACCATCAAATTAAATTATTTGGTAAAGAAAAAGAAAAACTAATTGTGAATTTTTTAAAAATTGTATTGGAGAACATTGTACCAAACTTGTCATTACGAAATTTAAATATAAAACTTCTCACTTACATGCAAGTAAAGAAAAATATTGCTAAACTGTTGTAGTAAGTAATGAAAATTATTTATTAATATCTTTGCAACATTGACAAAAAAGAATATCCTTGCAATAAAGTGGCTTCGCAATCCCCTGTCCACAAAGTGACTTCGTAATAAATATCCAAAGAAATATAATATGGACAAAAGAAGAGTAACAATTTCGTTTACATATCGATTAATCGAACGTATGATGGAATCAGATAAAAAAAAATAGTATGATGGAAGAATATGAGAGAAAGATGTACCATAAGAATAAGTAAACTATTGGAATTATGTTTGGAACATGATAAATCACATGTCTTGAAAAAACTTGTGTGTGTATCGGAAGCACGTTATGTAATGTTTATTATTCTCCATATGATAATTTTAGTAGGATAATAAAACTACATAGATCGATTTTCTGAATATGTCCAGAATATTACGTACACTCGTCTTTAACTTAAAAGTAATTTTTATACCTTGATTTAAGAGAGGATTTACAAAGTAGATAGTATACATACATAGAAAATTAATTAACAATGTGATGGAAGATTGGACTGCAAGAATGAGTTTGATATCAACCATAGATGACTAATATTGATTACACTCACTTCAAATATAAGTAGACCTGGCAATTTATTACACGACCCGTTAACACGACACGAAAATAACGGATTTCGGGTCAACACGATAACTAATCGGGTCATTATTGGGTCACACGATAATAACCCGTTAATAACGGGTCCTTAACAGGTTTACACGAATGTGACACGCGGGTAACCTGTTACGACACGATAAGAAAAATGCTATTTTGATGATTTTAATTTTTTTAAACTACTAAAAAAAAACTTACTATAAAATGCAATAGATATAATGAATATGTATATATTGTTTATTAATTATTATTCTATTATTATTTTATATAAATTTTAAAATTTAAGTTTTTTTTATTTATTTATTTTTATAATATATTATAGGCAAAGATTGAGATTAAAAATCATAAAACACATTAAAAATAAAAATATCAAGTAATTTAAAAATACCAAAAACATAAAAAAAATTATAATAATTAATTTCCCGCCTAATATTTCAAGAGTTTCATCCATTTCCCACCTAATATTTGGGAAATTTTGCAACCTATATCCATCCATTTCCCGCCTAATGTTTAACCCAAAGACAAAAAGTAACCAGCTTTTTTTTTTTTTTTTTTATCTCTTATAACATTTTAACTTGAATAAAAATAAAATACGTAATAAAAAAACATAAAAGTAATTTTATTATTAAATATCATCACATACTAATTGAAACATAGTCTAATTAACACTTAAAATATATAAATAATTAATATATTTATTCCAAGTCATCAAAACGATAAGATTCACTAACGCTTAAAGTTTATTTATACTTTCATTAAGTATAACATCAATGCGTATCCCATCAAAATGATGAAAGTATGAATAAACTCTTAAGTGTTAGTGAATTTATCGTTTTGACGGGATAAGTATCTTACAAAACTAATTTCAACAATCCAACCGTCAAACTTGTTTATACATGCTTCGAGATCGCACACTCCAAAAATTGCAAAAAACAAACATTCAGAGATGAAGTAATGAGACAAAACTTTTCAACGGTTGTAAACTGGTAAACGAAAAATCACGATTTAACGGTTATTTTAACTCCGATTTTGATGACTTTTTACAGCTACACTCCTTGACCTTATATGAATACAATGAATGAATTCGATCTTCAATTTAAAATATTTACACTAGTGTATACCACAAATCTTATGTTATACTTAATGAAAGTATAAATAAACTCTTAAGTGTTAGTTAATATATCGTTTTGATGGGATACGCATACTATGAAACTAATTTCAATGATCCAACCGTCAAATTTGTTTATACATGATTCGAGATCACATACACCAAAAATTGCAAAAAAAAAACATTCACAGATCAAGTAACGGGACAAAACTTTTCGACGGTTATAAACGAAAAATCACAATTTAACGGTTATTATAACTCCGATTTTGATGATATTTTACAGGTACACTCCTTGACCTTATATAAATACAATGAATGAATTCGATATTCAATTTAAAATATTTACACTAGTGGATACCACAAAATCTTATGTTATACTTGATGAAAATATAAATAAACTCTGAAGTGTTAGTGAATCTATTGTTTTGATGGGATACACATCTTAGAAATTAATTTCAATGATCCAACCGTCAAACTTGTTTATATATGCTTCAAGATCGCATACGCCAAAAATTGCAAAAAACAAACATTCAGAGATCAAGTAATAAGACAAAACTTTTCGACGGTAATAAACAAAAAATCACGATTTAACGGTTATTTTAACTCCGATTTTGATGATTTTTTGCAACTATACTCCTTGAACCTAAACAAATACAATGAATGGATTCGATCTTCAATTTAAAATATTTACACTAGTGGATACCACAAAATCTTATGTTGTACTTGATGAAAGTATAAATAAACTCTTAAGTGTTAGTGAATCTATCGTTTTGATGTAATATGCATCCTACGAAACTAATTTCAATGATCCAACTGTCAAACTTGTTTATATATGCTTCGAGATCGCATATGCCAAAAATTGCAAAAAAACAAACATTCAGAGATCAAGTAATGAGGCAAAAACTTTTCGATGGTTATAAACGAAAAATCAAGATTTAACGGTTATTTTAACTCTGATTTTGATGATTTTTTACAGCTACACTCCTTGACCCTAAACAAATACAATGAATGAATTCGATCTTTAATTTAAAATATTTACACTAGTGGATACCACAAAATCTTATGTTATACTTGATGAAAGTATAAATAAACTCTTAAGTGTTAATGAATCTATCGTTTTAATGTGATATGCATCCTACGAAACTAATTTCAACGATCCAACCGTCAAACTTGTTTATATATGCTTCGAGATCGCATACGCCAAAAATTGCAAAAAACAAACATTCAGAGATCAAGTAATGAGACAAAACTTTTTGATGGTTATAAACGAAAAATCACGATTTAACGGTTATTGTAACTTCGATTTTGATGATTTTTTACAGCTACACTCCTTGACCCTAAATGAATACAATGAATGAATTTGATCTTCAATTTAAAATATTTACACTAGTGGATACCACAAAATCTTATGTTATACTTAATGAAAGTATAAATAAACTCTTAAGTGTTAGTGAATCTATCGTTTTGATGGGATACGCATCCTACGAAACTAATTTCAACGATCCAACCGTCAAACTTGTTTATATATGCTTCGAGATCGCATACGCCAAAAATTGCAAAACAAAAAAACATTCAGAGATCAAGTAATGAAACAAAACTTTTCGACGGTTATAAACGAAAAATTACGATTTAACGGTTATTTTAACTCCGATTTTGATGATTTTTTGCAGCTACACTCATTGACCCTATATGAATATAATGAATGAATTCGATCTTCAATTTAAAATATTTACACTAGTGGATACCATAAAATCTTATGTTATACTTGATGAAAGTATAAATAAGTGTAGATTTTTAAAAATCTCATGAACAATGTTATTTATTTGAGTGAAAAATTAATAATAATAAGTGTGAAAAATGTAATCACACGTAATGAAAAACTTTACAACGTTCATTAAGGGGTCAACTCCGAAATTTAGTATGTATATACTAATTTAGTATTATGTTTTACATTTTTTTGGGTCAAATTATGTTTTTCTTTTCATTTTTATTGATTTAAAATATAATTTTCTTAACGGGTAACTGGTCGGGTCATATTATCTGATAATATTAACGGGTTGATTTCGGGTCGGGTCATATTACCTGTTTACTTTAACAGGTATTACACGACACGACCCGTTAAGCTATCGGGTATGAAACGAAAACGACACGAACACGAGAAACACGACACGAATGCCAGGTCTAAATATAAGTAGGTGACAAACTTGGGAAATTGTTTTAACATATTAACCATATAAATACATGCAAGCAAAGCCACAGTCTCTTGCATGCTTTTGATACAAACAAGATACAATATATTTGCAGCAAGAGCTACATTACAAGTAAGGCATAATGACATAGCTATAGGCAATACTACTTGATTATATCTAAATTTAACTGATCAAGATAATCAAAAGTCAAGGGCTTTAACACATGAGCAGCCTCCTTCTCTATCAACTCGATCTGCCCTTTCAACATGTGCATGTACACAATCCAGTCACCATTACCAACTGGACTTGGCATTGGCATCACATACCCGGCAGTGCCTCCCCACGGGAAATGGTAGGACCCGAAAACTGGCGAGCCCCACCCAAAGTCCACCTTCGAAACGGGGAACCGCTGGCCAGACGACACAACAAAAGCCGGTCCCTCATCGCTCCCACAGCCGTATATTTTGGCCAAGCCTGGCACAGGCCTATGTGCCTCAACCCAATCTATCAACCCTAAAAAATGCTCCTTAGTCACAGCACATTCCAAAAAATTATGGACTTCCTCAGCCACCCAATTTAGTGGTTTCTTAGTTAGGTCTTCAACTTTTTCCCCACCAAATGGAATAGACAGCACATTTCCAAAGTATGTAGCCATTAATGTTGAATGGTCGTTTTGGTAATTTCCGTCCCTTAATCTTCTCCGTCCATCAACAACGATGCCCATTTTACATATTTTTTGGGCACGATCATTACTAGTTTCACTTTTTGCTACCATTTTCCACAAGAATGCACAGAAACACTCAAGCTTGGTCCTTTTGCAGCCATTGGAGGTAGCTAGGTCTTTGAAATTTTTAAGCTGCTCGGCAGTGACATAGTATATGCGGCTGATGAGATGGTCATGATCATCTGTAGTACTGCCTTTACTGGGAGGTGGCAACGCCGTGACGGGCACATACATGTTGTTAAGGGAGGGATCGATGTGACCAGGTCGACGAGGGTTAAGCAAAGAACGACGAAAAGTTGGGTGGATAGTGAGGGATTTGGACTGAGCCATCTCTGCCCATGACACCAGAAACATGTTGGTTGAGTAGGCATCTGCTATGCGATGATCAAATGTGCATGCCACCACTATGCCACCACACTTAAGCTCAGTTGCCTGCAATTTAATTTGTTCCCATAATGTTAGGAATTAGAAAATATTGTCCGTCTCACATTGTGGTTGGAAATAATTATCAAAGCAAACCATCCATACATAGAGAATAAAAACTTGGTGAGTGCCCTGTAGATTAAGTGGCAGGAAATGTTTGTTTAAAATATGTCTCATGTTAAAAGTTCATATTCATAATTAGATTCCATAACACATTACATATTTCAACTACACTGTAAAAACATTCGAAACCTGTAACATGTAAATGACATGAGATAATAAGACACAGACCTGGACAGCCAATATGCCTTGGTTCTTGTTGGGCACCAATTTGCCCTCAATGCTCTCATCAGGGTCATAAAGGTTAAGCTCCTTAAGCTCAACATCTGCAAAAGCTTCAGCGAAATCAACACCGCGGTTGTTGCATAGAATCTCGGGCTCCCCGACAGAGTTCGGCACTACCTCACCAGAGAAGGCGTAGAAAGTCACAAGAGCTTGAGCCATGGCCTTCTTCAGAACCCCAACCATGGACCCAAAGCTCATGCTTTGCTTATTATTGTAGCAAAAGAAAACTCCCACGTCCAGAGGTGGCAAAAGCAAGTCAAGGTTGGAGAGTGGTAGCCAATGCTCTTGCAATGGCATGGCAGCTGCTACCACTTCTTGCTTGCTCATAGTCACCTTGAACTCTCCTCGCGCCATGGTTTAGGTTTTGTTAGCAAAAGACCAGAATAGAAGTACTAAATTTATAAGGAGGAGTTGGAGAGTAAAATGACGTTATAGCCAATTGGATTAAGGGGACGTTTGGGAGTAAAAATAAGGAAGAGCTGGCTAGGTAGCTAAGACAACTACCCTCAACATTTTACTTACTTTTGTTAGGGAGAGTGTAAAGACAAAAAATTAAACTGAGAGACGTGGTCTTTTTGAGTAACGTATGTGGTGGAACTGGTTCATGTTTCAGATGGGGGTCAGCAACAACGACAATGCAGTTGGCTCTATGTTCAGAGATACATGAATCCCTCGATATTTTTATCTTGGAAGTACAAAGATTTTGATTTCTGTGAATCAGATGTTGATTAGGATTTAGTCATGTTTATTTTGTGATTTCAATGAGTCATTTCTACACGCGATTGACAAAAACGTATGCTTTCAATGAGCCATGCACTGTACCCTTATCCGGCAAAAATGGACTCCCTGGCTAGTTTATTGTATCATCACAATAAAGTAATTTTTACTTCTTGTGATAGGGTCTCCATTAGACCCGGCACTTTCTGACACGACACGAAAACAATACGAAAATAACAAGTTTCGGATCAACATGATAACTAATCGGGTCATTATCGGATGACCCGTTAAGAAAAAAATTATTTTGATAATTTTAAAGTTTAATTACTAAAAGATTTATTATAAAATACAATAGCCATATTAATATATACAATATATTCTATATCAAATATATAGTTTTGTATTATTATTCTATATAAGTTAAAGAAAAAAAAAGTTTTAGTCATTATTTATTTTTATTATGAGAGTTCCTTATCATCATTACTAGAATAAATTTTACTTAACATGTTGTTGTCCAAAATTAAAATAAACTAGTATAGTATTTGTATATGCAAGAATTAAGAAGACATACATACAAGTATGAAAAATGTGAAAGAATATATAAACACTTGATTCGTCATTATTCCTCCATGAGTAGATAATGGTTATGCTTACAGTATCGTTTAGATTTTTAAAATCCTCCAAACCCTCATGAATAATGTTTTTTATTTGAGCGTAAAATTAATAAAATCAATAATAATTATTGTAGAAGTGTAAAAAATGTAAAAATATATATAATCACTCATAGTGACAAGCTTTACAACTTTCATGAAGGGGACAGCTTCGAAATCCAACATTATAATCCATAAATCTTAAATTTATATTTAACCGTCGATTGTTATTTACGCTTTATTTTTCTTATTAAATTTCATTTTTAAAATTTTCTTTTTTAAAGACATGATCATCTGGCGGATGTAAAAAGATGAACAGTTCAGATCTTTGATATCACGTTTCGATATATTATGGTTAACTGAAATATGAGTCGATGTCATATAGTTTGTAGAAACTTTATAAACATCAAGCAATATTTTTATTAACCGTAAAAACTCTGAACATAAAATCAACGATCCAAATCGTTCATCTCTTGCATCCTCTAATAGATCATATTTTCAAAAAAGAAAATCCGAAAAAACAAAATTTGATGAGAAAAATGAAGCATAAATGTGAACAACAATCAACAATTAAATTTTGATTTATGATTTATATGATTATAGTGACGAATTTCGAAGTTGAGCTCTTCACGAAAGTTGTAAAACTTGACATTATGAGTGTTTATATATTTTTTTTCTATATTTTTTACACTTCTACATTAATTAAAAAATTATTAAAGACTTTTCTTAAATAACAGCAGTAAGATAAATTAAAGTAAATCTGTACTGTTAGATTCTATTTCACTTAAATTATTAGAATTTTTTTGAACGAGAAAATCCCTTCTCTATTCCATTATTTTCCAATTTTACCATTTGATCAAAACAAAAACCCTAATCCCCTTCTGTCTCCCCACTCCCGTAACTCTCTCTCCCGATCCCGCCGTCTGTTTTTCCTAGCCCTTCTCTCCCGCCGTATGTTCGGTTCTTCCGGTAGCCTCTCTCAGTCTCTCTTTTCTCCTCCCTCATGCAGTGGACGGAATCATCCTTGTCATCTCTGGTCGTCTCTACATCTCTTCATCTCTGCATCTCTACATCTCTGCATTCTCCAGATTCCACTCCAGGTTCGATTTTGTCTCTACATCTCTGCATCTCCTTTCTCCGTAATTGCTCCATATTCGTTCTTGATTAGATTGTTCAAGCCGATTAGAGATTGGCATCTCAAAATGGGGGTGCCTAGGGGTTGGAAACGTGAGCCTGCTTGCGATATTCCCATTCCCTTGAACCAGATGCTGAGCTTCCAACCGCTGATCATGAAGCTGCTGCAAGTACACATATCGCTGCTGCATCCTCTTCCAAGTTCCTCCAACTAATTTGATTCTGGTTTAGCTGTTGAGAATGTAGGTAAGGAATATGAGATTGTGCATCAAGAAAGAATTGCCGCTGATGATCATATCCCACTTATAATACAGACAGCCCAAAAACTCGATTTCCTGAAACCCGACGTCGCCTCCCAAATTCATTGGATCGTTTTCACATCGCCGCCGACCGCCCGCTACAAGCTTCTTTGAAAGGTTTCTCTCTCATTTCTCTCTCTCTCTCGCTGCAGTTTCTTAGATTTTGATTTTTGTTGATTTTTTGGTTTGGAATTTGGGTTGCAGAGAGTGGTTTCGATATGGAATTTGGCGTCGGTGAGAGAATCAATCAATTCATGGCTACTTTGCAACCGACGAGGGCTCGGGCGGATTACGATTATCTCATCAAGCTTCTCCTCATTGGCGACAGTGGTTAGTCGTGGTTTATCCTTCTCTGTTTGGTTCCTGAGAAAATTTTGGAATTGCGAATCGGAAGTTGGACATTCTGAGATCTTAGGTGTTTTTCCTTTACGTTGGTATTTCTGGTGGCCAATGTGCTTTGCCTTTCATCCGAGTGAACAATTTTTTTTCAATAAAAAAAGATAAAATCGTTATTTCTGAACCCATTTTTTTTTTTTTTTTTTGGGTTACAAAATAGTGGACAAATAGGGTAATATTTAGTTCTGTCAAGTTTGAAAGTTTGAATGCGTGCAGTTTTTGGTAAATTTAGTGTTTAGGGACCTGTATGTGAGTGTAATTAGATGGGTTTGTTTGAAAGATGCAGTTTTGGGTTTGACATCAGATTTTACAAAGAGCATTCAACCTCTGGTGGGGTCGGTGTTTTGGCGTCGGTTGAGATTATTGCTTTGGAGGATACGTTTTGAAATTGCTTTGAGATGGATAAGAAGTTTTAGGATTTTTTTTTGTTTGGATGGGGTATCCTGGATCTTGTGCGTTAAAAATGGTCTAATTGTGAGGATTGCTTTGAAGACAATAAATCAAGCTAAGATTCCAATACTGTTTTCCATGATGATTGAGGAAAATTGAAGGGTTTGATTGAAAGAAAATGGGCAAGGTTCCAATGTCCTTAATTTTGCAAATCTTTTGAACATTTGATATTTTGTAATGTTCTAATGTTTTATTTTTTATTTTTTTCTGCTCTTATTTTGGATATGTAAATATATACCTAAAAGAAAATTGCGTTTTTATGTTTTGAATGTGACAATATGGTATATATATATACTTATTTAGTATTATATTTTTCATTTGATTATTTCTTGGTTTAAAATATATTTTTCTTAATGGGTAACAGGTCGGGTCATATTATCTGTTAATATTATCAGGTCGATTTCAGGTTGGGTCATTTTACCCGTTTATTTTAACGTGTGTTACACGACGCAACCCGTTAAGATATCGAGTATGACACGAAAACGATATGAACATGGAAAACATGACATGAATGCCAGGTCTAGTCTCCATGCAGTGTACAATAGCCATGACGGCTACATTCTAAAAGATTGTTAATGAGCTAACCCTAATTCTTAATAGGCAGAGAAATAAAACTCTAATTCTAATGGGCTAGGCTCAAAACCCAACAATAAAATAAACCTCAATATTATTATAGAAAACTTTATGTTAGATCTTTTTTTTAATACTTAGAAAATATGACTTTTAACTATAACCATGTGTAAAATTAAAGTTTAATTTTCGTCCGTTGGTACATTTAGTCACCTTATTTATTTATTATATTTTGATGTTTTATTTCTCGTGTTCTTCCAAATTTAAATGTATTAATTACATTTAATTATTTTCATTTCATTCATCATAATATATTATTGTAGATATTTAGGTAATCTAATTGTTTTTCATGTAATATATTCCGATACAATTTGTGTTCTTTATTTAGATAAATTAATTTATTTAATATATTTGGGTATATCTATTGATATAGACATTTAGGTACATTAATTATTTATAGCAAATTTTGGTATTGATAATTACGTACACTAATTCAATATAATACATTTTAATATAATACATTTCGGTACTTACATTTTGGTATTAACATTTAGGTACATTAACTTAATATAATATATTTTGATACAAATATTTGGTACATACAGTTCTGTACAAACATTTATGTTCATTATAATATATTTTGGTACATACATTTCTGTATAGAGAAGTCAATTTAATATATTTCAGTGTCTTTTTTTGTGCACTTACGTATTTAAATATTTTTCTTATGTGTCACTAATTTCTTTTGATGTTTTTTCATTTAGGTTTATTTATAATTGGAAGAACTAAAATGTGCGTATTAATAAAATCAACATTTATAATGTGGAGACATTAAATAACAAATATAGAATACGAATTTTAATAAAGTACACTTCAAAGGATTAAATCAATATGTAATCCAACACTAGATTTTTATAAATTTAATCTTTTCACTGACTAATAGTCAAAAACCCCTTTTTATTATCTTCGGTGACCCAAGTAGCATACATTTCCAGCAAGCCAAAAGGACGATGTATCATCTCCGCATGTTGGGCATTGCCATATAACTTTTGGTGCTCCATCCATAAAATCATTAATTGTCCACATCATTGCGGCTCTTAGAGTGAACATTTCCGCTATGGACTTATCCTACGTTCGTACACCATTTTTTCATAAATCTATCAACTCATCAATCAACGGCCACACATAAACTTCAATGTAATCTTGGCGTAAAAGGGAAATAATGCAACATCTTATTCAGAATCTTGTCCTTTAAATATCTTGCACTTTGGACATTTATCTACCTTCTTGAATTCATGGTAAAACACTACACAATTGTTTGTGCATGCATGCATGGATCTTGTCATATCCCAACCTAAGATATTTTAAGATGTTCTTTGAGCTAGAATGATTTGTAGGCAATGCATTGGGTTTCAGAAGCATATGTTTAATAATCCCCATCATCATATTGTAGTTCCGATTGATCATATTAACTCTACTTTCATGTGCATGAACTCTACAACGGTTGGTATGAGAGAAAAATCTTCTAAACTAGGGGTACAAGTCTCGCTTAGCTTCCTTCAACAATTTATCGTACTTCTCAAGATCTATGGGCAGCTTTTTGTCCATATTGAGTGAAGCATCATTCAATATGTCCATCACTTGGTCATCATTAACACGGCTAGATGAAGAGGGTTCATGCCTAACTGTCCCACTCCTAGAAGACGTTGACAATGTACTAGGCAATTCTTAATGATAAGTCCAATTGGAGTAAATGTTTGCCATCGTATTCATATACAAATGATATCAAACTTCTTCCAGTATTGTCCAAACACAGTTGTTATATTTCATGGAATGACACCTCAAATGATTTTTGAGCACTGACATAGTTGCTTGCAAATTGAATAAAGTTGTCGATCACATCCAAATATTGGTCACAACTTATATCTTTCAACTTGATTTGTCTATTGCGCTTGTTTTTATAAAAAAAATTCATCATATTGATTTGATATAAGCTTCATTGCCCCTTTATGCGTCAAGTAATGATCATATCCCATTCGAAAGTGCACTTTATGTGTTGTGGTTTGTGATTCACACGACTATTTTCAATTGTAAAAAATTCAGTAGCATCTCCCTAAGGTTCCCCAAGTGCATGATGTAGATAATACAAACAAATATCTAGTATGCACTAGAAGAACAATAGGGGGATACAACCGAATTTTCCCCAAACAAAACTTAGCCACATTTACCGCAAACCCTAAACACATACTAGTGCATTTTTGAACGGGACAATTCAAGATTCAATTAGATCGCGGAGCAATATACTGCATTTACATACGCATCCAACAAAATCTCAAACGGGTCAAAGGTTTTTTTATTAATTTATTATACGAAGTTAATCAGCATAATTAACTTCATGTAAACAATTATGAAATTTAACAAATTTCACATCACGATTTCCTAGACTAAAGTTGCGCAAGTTAAATTCGCCTAATCTACATTTGCTTTCATAACACATAAACTCAAAATTTCATATAACACACAATTTCAACATATATAGGTATCACAATTAAATACTTCAAACTTACATTTGATAATTAAGAGACAAATACGTGCATTTCCTTTAATTTACTTCAAAACCAATCATAAACCTACAACAATCAAAATTAATTAATCATACATTCAAATACAAAATTATTCAACAAATAAAAACACACTAACATCGTCGAGCAATGGCTTCACCATTGGTTTTTTAACACATCATCATGGTCCTTTGCCCAACGACCTACAATAGTAAGCAGACAAATATGTTCCTCGGGCAAAGGGACCTAGCTAATGAACTAGGAGTTTGTACCACAAACCTCAAGGTATTGTTGTGACGATCCGTCCCTAATTTTCTATATAATTTCTCCCTGAGTGTGCAACTTGACATTTCTACCCCTATTGGCAAAGTGACATGGATGTAGTTATTGAGGGTTTATTTTATTTTTCTAGTAGCTTAATTAAATAGTACTCGTTGTTACGATCGCATGAGCGCGAGTTAGACCCAAATTGGACTTGTAGCGAAGAAGTTATATTTAGTGAAAGTACGTTAACAACGGGTAAAATTGTACACGTGCGTGTTAATTTTTCAATGCTAGAAGTACTGTTTTTGATAAGGTGAGCCAGATTTTATGTACATTTTATATTGTGCAAAAATCTGAAATCTTATTCTTCATTCTCTTTAAAACCTGTCTGTGACTTACCATGCACACCAATTAAACCCTTTCCTCAAATCTCTCACCTAATCAGACAACATCCCTCTCTTTCTTTTCAACCAATCAGAAAGTCTTCTCTCTCTCTCTCTCTCTCTCTTTCATCTTCTCCTTCTCTCTCCCTCGCCCGAGCCTCTTCTCTTTGCAACACACATACACCGCCACTAAACTTCATAGATCGAACCTAAAAATCCCACCTTCGTGATCTTCTAAACCTCACGAACCCAACCATACTCATCGATCACGAAATGGACGAGTTTTGACTCGTCAACTCGGAAGCTCCGACTTGATGAGTTTTCTCTGATGAGCTATCATTCGAGTTACAATGTTTTGGGAAGCCTAGAAGCCGCTACTCAACTCCCCGTGTCCATTTACCTAAGTTGGGAAAGGAGCCAACGTCGAAACACGCAGTTTCAAGGAGATGAAACTAGGGCCAAGACTTTCGAGCTAACTTCAGCCCATCTCCGTCCACTTTTTGGACTTCCAAAAGGTATAGACTTTTTCTACTCTTTATATGCTTCATTTCCATATAAAGTACGTAAAAAATGGTTGAGAAATGAAAAAGATATGAAGTTTTAAAATTTTTATAGAATCTAGCGAACCATATAACGACGATGACAGCGGAGGACGGTGGCGCTGGTGACCGAAGAATTGGAGAAAAAAGGGAATATTCTGTTAGAGTTGGCGAAATATTCTTACGCCGTTAAGGTAACGTCGTTAACTTAAATGGAATAATCTGTCAAATCTGACAAAATATTTCGTTTGGCAGAAGCATGGCCGCATGTGTGGCCATGACTTGGCGGCGCGTGATGGCACGTTCGACTTCTGGCCAGCAAGTGCTTAACATATACGGGTCCGTGACGTCGAGTAGAATGTTTTGGTATACTTAAACCCTCCATTTAAGCAAACTATGAGGGTTTTTCCTAGCCTTTTTGTGTATGTGTTAATTAACTAATTATTATTAGTTGTTTCGCACATAGGTGAAAATTATCTCGAGGACTTACAAGGTCAAGCGAGGCTAGGAGGCTACGCTCCGACCATATATAGGTGAGTGGGCATTTGTTTTCGTGTGTGTTTATATACATACATACATACATACATACATATATATATATATATATATATATATAAACTTTATAATTTCCACAAATGCTTTTGAATTGATTTATGCATATCATGCCAGTATTGTTTTTAGATTGATTTTATGCCATGATTTATTATCTTATAAGAATTGTTATACTGTTGTAAAATGCTAAAATAATCCTACGAAATGCATTGGTAAGCTTACTATGTTGATTGGAAATTATTGAATGGTTATGGCATGTTTATATTTTGTAGTCTGCTTATCATTGCTGCACCCCGGTGTTAGTGCTCGCCTGGGGCCAGGGCTAGTCTTTCACATGTAAGTTTACCTTTGCACCGCACACTCGCCTTGGATCCAAGTAGGTACCAGTCCTATCGTACAGGTTGCATTAGGCAACTCTAACTCATAGGTGACCGCGATTATTGCTAGTCTTCACGT